CAGTCAACATATTTCTGTTTTTGAATCAACATCATCAATTTCAAATCACTCATTTACACAAGAAAGCGTGGTAATATAAGTCACATTTATTGTTTGAGCTACAACAAACATCTTTAACACAAAGTATCATTAGTTATTAAATACAAACAACTTAAATAGTATTGTTGATGTAATCTAAATAGGGTATTTCGTCGTCATTAATTATGTCAACAGACTTATCTAAAAATGTGCAATATGTTTTTAATGTTTCAAAAACGATGTCATGAAACGCAAGTTTATTGTTGATAAATTAAACCATATTACAATTTGAGATGTTTAATAATTTGATTTTACATTTTGAAAATAGAATTAAACGATTTGATGTTGTGTTGATGATTTTTAACTGTTGTTTGGTTATAGTTTTAAGAATTTAATTTTAATTAGAGATGGTAAAAGTACTCTGTGTGTGGTCTGTAAATATTTTCTATGTTTTCCCATATAAAATTTCAAATGTTCATTTGATACAATTTGATTGCTAAACAAATTCAAATCTATCATTTTTTTCAGATATGAATATTTTATTTTAAATTGTTGTTGTGATATAAAATTGTTTTTTTTTCATAACAACTCTTACGTTCTCACATTTTTGAACGTTATACATTTTTATTAATTAATAACTTGACAATTATTGTGAATTTAAAATAGAATTGGTTGATTGCATCATCAGTAACATTTAAATAAAAACTGCTTTAATTTGAATTTGGTCATTTTTGTCATCAGATTTCTACACAACAACCTCAAAATACATCAACATAGATAAACAGTTTTCATTAAGTTTTCAATTAAATCAAATACTTTTTATTTGATTATTATGATTATATTTCTGTCGACCTGACTACTATAATAAAATGTATGATTGTTAGATATTTTATTAATTTTAGAATAAAAAGTTTATAGTTTATAATTTGTCTATACGTTTATTACTTTCTGTATAATCAATTATAAGCTATTAATAATTAAAAACAAATTTTACAAATAAAAAACGATGAACTAACAATGTAATCGATCAATTATATCCCAGCGATTTTTTCTACATTTCCTTTTCAATCTTCATTTTATTTCCTTTATGTCTTTCTCTGTATCATATTTATAATATAAATATTATAAATATAAGCGCTCACACCTCTGTGATTTGTTGGGTAGACTGTTATTTGTGCCGTATAAGCGCTATTTATTTGTTTTATTGATTTTTTTATTCAGTCTAACTTTATTTAAACAACAAAGAGGGACTCCTTTATTGTTATAAAAGAGTCACAATGGCAATGGCTATTTGACAGGGATATATTGTCCAATTACATTGCTTGCCGACTATGTACAAGCCGGCGTCTATATGCATGATCACTTTCTGTATGGTTAATACTTTAAATGTTAAAACAAGCAGAAACAACCCGTGTGCAATAATAATGATGTTTTGTAACCAAATGTGGAAGTGCGCCTTGTTTTCGTTTGGTGTTGATTAAAGAGAGAGTGTATGTGTTAATAATAATACTGTTAATTGTACATTAATGACGCCTTAGTTGTTGGTTGTATTTGTTTATATATAATAAACATACAGATTATTACAAGCTTTGAATGTATGCTTGCAATTTTAGACATATTCCATTTGGTTTAATACAGCATATTCGTTTTCGATATATAATACATATTTACTTCAGGTAGCCATGTTAATCAATGTGTTTAAATATCAAATTCTTGCTTTATATATTGTTTAATTTTCTATTTTTAAATTTCTTATTTATCATCTACCAAAAATCCGGTAGTCTATTAATACAATGTCAGAATACAAGCTAATTGGATCTTTGTATGCTATCTCTAGACTTTTGGTTCTTTCAATTGTATTCTAATATATGTTAATGGTTTTTTTATTGTTTTCAAAATAATATCACACAAATAATAAATAAAAATATAGTGGTTTATGCTTCTATTTAAAAAATCGAAACAATGCCACCACATCTCCATTTTTTGTTATCTAATTGTTTGGATCGTGTTTTTATTTGAATATTAAAATCAAAGCATTTAAAATTAAAATAGAGGTATTTTGTCAAAAATAAAAATACCCTTTATTTTATTTTTAAAATAAACGGGTTTGTTTTTGGAAATATATATTCCAATGTTTTTGATGTCGTTGTTGCAATTGGATGTGATATTTTAGCGATTTTAAAATATTTATAAAAATTAATTTTATTTACTATTATATTATTATTTATATTTTTACTTATTTTTACTATTAAAAGCTATTTTTACTTATTTTTAAATAACAAATTTACTGTTATTTGAAAAATCAAAGAATAAAAATTTGACAATCAAAAAAACAACAAAATATTGGTTTTCATTCAAATCCAACTATTTCATTATTCCAAAAATACAATTTAACAAGTTTAACAAAATTATTATAATTATTATAATTATTTGAATCAAAATACAATAATTTTTGTTGTAAAATTAAATTATACTAACAACAACACTTATCATTGATATGATTGTAATTTCAATATTAAAAACATACGAAAAATACAACAAAAAAATTCAAGACTTATTTTATTTTTAAATTCAACAACACGGATCAATTATTTGTCGAATTAATTTTATTTTTAAAATAAATTGACAAATGAATCAAAAACTTGGTGGTTGCATATCATTTAAAATTATTTTTTATTTGGTTTTTTATGATTTTTTAAAAAATGTGCCTTCTTTTCGTTTTTGTTTTTTTTCTTTACAATTGTTCTTTGTGTCTTTACAAATTGATTTAATTAAGTTTGAGACTTTAAAAAAGTTATTAAAATTATTAATTAATTCTTGTTTTTGATTGTGAATTGATTTTTGTTTTAAAAATAACAAATAATTACATAATTTTTCATTGGTATCTTGACAACTATCAAATAAAAATGATTGTAAATAACAATCATTTTTATTTCTCGACACTTTTGGAAGTGTCGTCTTCGAACCTCTCATACCCATCAAGAACATTGACATCTTAGATATCTACGCCCTTTCCTTCCGGGGCAATGAACAACAAACAGAACCCATCATCATCAATCCACCACATGAACAGAACGTCCCTAAGTGACCAAACTTGAACGGGAATGGTTCGGAAATAGCTGTTCCGATCATAACAACAACAAACAAACTGCTGTCCCAGCAAATCCAAACAACCGTAATGGCTTTCTTCCTATCCGATTGACTAATAAAAAACTGACTATGAAGCCAGGGAATGCTATTGAGACTAATATCAAATTTTTTTATTGCAGTGGAGACCAGGCCTTGCCGGTGATCACTGTCCGTGTCTTTCGGTTTAAATCCAATGAATTGTAGTCTCGTGGAATTAAACATTCCACTGTTTAATTAAACACCAATAATGCTTTGGACTCTTTATGATACCACTTCCATCATTAAAATAACAAAAATATTCTGGTTGTGTGTTAATTAAGCTTAAAGCATTTGCTTCTGTGCCATGTCGACATTCACATTCATATTGATTATCTTGACCGTTTTCTACTGATTATTTCCATTCTTCTTTTATTTGTTAATTAGTAAATCAACTTGAATTTTCAAGTTATTTACATATAACACTCATCCTCTCTGTTTTACTGTTTGTTTCATTCAGATAAAACTTTTTGTGAATAAATTGATTTTATAAAAAAATTATAATATATTTTTTGACTTTTTTTATAAAATATAAATTAAATTTATTGTAGTGTTTTATTTAATAAAAGTTTTATAGCAATAAAAAATATAAAACCATAAATAAAAATAAGAAGTTTAAAATTATAATATTAATAATATTTTAAATTATTAACTTATAATAATTATATTACTAATTAAAACATGAACAAAGAAAGTGTTATAAATACTCAACAACACCATTGCATGATATTCACACATAAGTGGAAATTTGATTTGAAACTACTTTTTACATGGTCTTAAATATGATATTTTTTAATGAATGTTATTACTTCAAACCGTAATGTTAATATTCTGATTTTGGTGGAACACAATGAAATCAATAAGTTTACACCATAAATGTTAACTTATTTAATTTGTTTTTATTTGTGTATTTCTAAACCATTGAAAAATATGAAAAAAAACTAAAAAACTTAAAAAATCAAGTGTGATTCACTGTTAACAAATTCTCGGAAATCGAAACTTTACGATATCAAAAATTGATTTGTATTGTTCTGATATGCAATTCAAACTTGTGCATATTTCAATTGATGCGTTGACATTATTAATTTTATGATATGATTTTTGTTTTTTTAATTTTTTCGAATTTAGGAAATGTAATAAAAATGACAAGGGTGCCATTCTGGGATTTTGTTATTTTGTTTTAATTTTGTTATTCATCCGCAATTATAAGGTTAAAGTGTGAAAAACATCTAAATTTATTTTTAATTTTTTTAATTAAAAAACTATAATTATCTGTCAAAAGAGCAAATAAACAACAACTTGAAATATCCAAAACTCTGATTTATTCAAATAACTTTTATGACATAGTTTTTATTTATATAACAAAAATAGTTAAAATATTTTTTTTTGGAAAATACACAATTTGTTCTATAGAGAATAAAATAAAATATCAGTTAAACAATGTATGCCAATAAAAACAAAGTTTATTTTTAAAAAAATATAACATAAATTAATATAAATAATATGTTATTTTTCTAACTTTCCACAAAATGAAATGATTAAATTTTATTTTTCAAAAAATTGGTGTAAATTAAGCAAAGTCTTTTTTGATAAATAAATAAATTTATATAAGAAAGTGAATAAGAAAAGATCTTGGAAAAGAAAACATGGATTATCATTTTAACCCAAACAAACCCGCTTTTGGATTTCAAGACGTCGCCCGTTTAATTAGTTTGTTGGACATTCCAAAAGAACTTCATGACTCTCTATTAAAAATTGTAAACGGCTTTCACGACTGTTATTACTATGAACGTGGACAAGAACTTGCAATGATTTTAATGCTTGAGCTGACCAGTTTGTCGCAATGTGGTCAAAATGAATTTCTAAAACTTCACAACTTCTTATATAACCCAACCGAATTTCCAATAACAAAATTTAACATCTCACAACATTGGGCGTCAGACATTGTCACCGCTCTGTGCGAAGTCATTCAATGCAAACAAACCATCCGTTTGGAATCAAACAAGACTCAAAACCCTTCTGTTGTGACGAAACCAAACAGCACAACTTCAATCGGAGAACGTCGCAAAGCTTTCGAATGGCATTTCTTAGACCTCACAAAACCAAAACAACAACCTCCACAGCCAGGACAAATTACTTTGACTTTATATGAGTTGGTTAAGGAGTATTACAAAAGTCTTGATATTGACATTCAGAACAACAAGAATGAGCAATTGGAAGCCACTAAAAAATTGGCTGAAGAGAAGACTCGAGCAAATGAAGTGAAAGAACAGAAGACCGAACAGAAGACTGAAAAGAAGACTGAAAATAAGACTGAAAAAAATGTTCCAAAAACGACTGAAAAGAAAGAAGAACCCGCAAAAAAGGTTTCCGCAGAGAAAAGGAAAACAGAAATTGCGAAACCACCAAAAGAAGTTCCAAAAAAAGTTGAAGAGAAAATTTTAGAAGAGAAGAAAAAGGAAGAACCAGTCGACAAATACGCCGTCTTTGAGGCTATGATGATCACTGCAAAACTGAATGACGAAATCAGAGAGACGACATTGGACGCGTTCCTTGAAGTCTATCCAACCAACTTCCCACACCAAAATACCCAAAAGGGGAAAGACGGAAGTGGACTTATGTTGAACCAAATCAGAAAGAAAAGTTCGTTGGAGCACATCACCGACCTCTCAACAGCAAAGAAAGAAGTTAAAGAGTTCCGCGACAAAATTAAACAGAAACTTGAGTCGAACAAAAAGAAGTTGGACAAGTGCGTTGAGATGGAGGACGTGATGCGAAATAGAACGTTTGGAACCCCAAAATTCCCGACAAAGGCCGAGCACGAGATGTTACTCCGCTACAAAAAGTTGTTACCACAAGTCGACGACATTTTATATTCAGGAAAGGCCAACAGTTTGATATTAGAAATGGGCGTGACATCGAAAGAGGTTGCTTCACTTGAAGGAGATGAAGTTGATAGGTGTATGGTGTATTCTATTGGAGACTATTTAAGGGTGTGTAATCAAGAGAGTCGAATTGATGCACAAATTGAGAAGGTCAATGAAATGATGAAGGCAGAGAGCGCACAATTAAAACAAGACTTTTGCTCAATACGAGTGTCTGAGGTGATTGAAGAAATGGAAGAGAAGATTATGTTGGCGTCTCGACCACTTCCAGTCGATTTGGGAAAATACGAGGTGAAGTGGAGTTAAGTGTTAGAAGTTAAAATTACTAATTTTTACTATAGAATTGGTTCTTTGTTTTTATAAAAAGTGTTTTTTTAAAAACTTTTTATTAACACTTTTATAACCCAAATTTTTTAAATGGCTTGTTTAAAGAAGATATAATATTTACTCAATTTGAAACAGGAAATTTTGTCTTGCCATCTCTCTAATTAAAGTGATCAATTCAAAAAAATGCATTAAAATTATAATTAAGCATTTTTAAATATTCAATAAAAAGTTTTTGTTTTATTTATTTTCAGTTTATTAAAGCTTTTATAATTACCTTCAATTAAAATTATTATTTTTTTGACGAAGGAAACGCCAATTCGAGGGAGTAATTAAATAAGTGGAATATTGTACTATTTTAACATGAAAAAACACAATAAAAGAAATTATATTTTTCAAATTAAAAAATTTTAAATATTAGGGATGTTATATATATTATACACTCATTTTTATTTATTCTAATGTAACGATAAATACAAAAACAATAAAAATAATGTGATTACTTTTCAATAAATTTCTTTGCTTTCTTCTTACTCCATTTAGTAGCGGTCTGATTAACAGCCCACGCTTCGTCGTTATCTTCCTCGAGTCTATTTTCCATGTCATCTGCATAAGTATTATATTCTGATTGCATTACCTGTTTAGAGACTTGTTGTGCCTGTCTGAACATCCCAATATTTTCTTTAGCTCTTTCAATAGATCCTCTTCTTTTGTGTTCAGCAGTTTGCTGAATGTAATACGTCTGCAACACTTCTCCGTTCAAATCTACCTTTTCGTCTTCTTTAGCGACTTCGATTTTTCTTGTGATGATTCTGTAATAGACTCCTCCATTCTTCTTGGTGTATTTAATCCCAAGTTGAACTGTGAAAGTCTCCAATTTGTCTTCACTATTTCTCTTGGCGTATTTAAATTGGTAAGTTGTGTCATCAAGTGCGTTCCCAACATCAACGCTTTTCTTACTCACTTTTTCATTTGAAAATTCGTCCTTGACGTACAAACTTTGTGGGAGGAAAATGTCCAACACAATTTGCCTTGCGATCAACTCGGAGTCAAGGGCACCTTTAAATGCTTCTGTGATGTTTTCTGGGTCAACAACCATCACTTGTCCATCAGTGAGTACAGCACACTCACCAATCACTTTCATATTAGCATCACACCCCTTCACGGTATTGACATTTATTATGACGCCATTCTTTCTTGCCACTTCACTAACATGCTGATAAAATGATTTTTCATTTTGACTTCCAGAACTTCCAAGTCCTTCATTTGCAAGACCATCAGTACACAAAATTACGGAGCCATTATTCTGTTTTCCAGCAGCAACTGTCGAGACTAAAAGTGCTGGGCCAAGAGCAGTGCAACTTCCTGGACTAAGTGCTTTGAGTGATGAAAGGATTTTCTCAGAAGACGTTTCCAGTGTTGTTAATTCAATTTTCTCGGTTGCAACGTCGACTAAACTGTCAAAATCATTCATAAAATGGTGATTCACAGTTATTGGTGTTTTAGTGCAGTCTCCAAGGATTGTGACAACACTATCAAATGTGACAATGCAAACCTTCTGTTGTGGATTTTCGTTTAACATTGCTTTGATTTGGTGAATCATAGCTGACTTGATCACTTCCAAAACAGAAGTACCGTTCATTGTTTTCCCATTTTTGTCGGTTGGCTGAGAACCCATAGAACCTGACACATCAATACAGAAAACAATTGTTTTGTTGTCTATGACCTTTTCGGACTCTTCTTCAACTTTTTCAAGTTTTTGAAGTTCGGGAGGAGACAAAACCAACTCTACAGTCTCTTCAGATATATAACTGTCTTTTGGAGAAGATATGTGAGTTATTGCATTGCAAAAAGGACAAATTATGTTGCCATCTTCCTTAAAGGAATTAACAGTAAAATATGAACCACACGATGGACACTTCGGGGGTTCACTTTGAAGAGGTTCAATTACAGTTTGAAGAGTTGAAAAGTTGGCGGAAATGATGTTTGTGTCAACTTTTGGAGCTCCATTTGGAGAATAACTAAAAGAACAGAAATCTGCTTTTGAGGCCGCACACTCCATTGTATCTTATATATTTTTGTTGCAAAAAAGTATTTATATAATTTGAAATATTCTTACACTTTCTTGAAGTATTTAAAAAACAAACAAACACAATATTGTTCGATAAGTGATTTATATAATCAATTAATAATTGTGGCAAAAAAGTATATATTATAATATGTATTTAAAAAAGATACAATAAACTATATTTTGAATAGTGATGTTTATAAACATTTTATTACATTTTATACATACAGTCACTCAAGTTAGCTTAATGGAAAAAACTTGCCATCTGATTTTGTTTTTCAGTATATAGTTAATTTAGTAAATACAATTCTATATTTAATAGTTTATTTTTTTAAAAATTTTATGAAAAACATTATTTAAATAAATGTTTTGATTGATTTGGATTTAATAAATAATTTGTTAATAAAAAATATTATCAATTTGAAACCAATGAGCACTATAAAAAACAATCCCAAAAGGCAGGCTTTTCCCATAAGGATTGCTTGAGGGACTGTATGTATAAATGATAAACAAAATATTATATTTATATTTTAAAATTATTATTATTTTATATTGGTTTAAATTTAAACAGAAAAACAATAAATATTGGTGTTACTTTTTTGAACCAAACAAAAGTTTAAATTTAAAAAAAAATTAATAATTTTTTTGCGCCACTTTCATTTATTAAAAAGAGATAATCTGCTTGGTGTTGTTATGGTATTAAGTGAGTCACAAACATAAAATGAATATTCACCAAATTTCTTTACATTAGATGTTATTACAACTTTACTTAAAGATAAACACCCACTAAAACACCAATTTGGTATTGCAGTAACACCTGTTGGTAGATCAACACATTTTAAATTTTTACATCCACTAAAGCAGTACATCCCAATTGAATTAATGGTTTTTGGTATTACAATATCATTTAAACTATTGCATTGCATGAATAAAGAATGACCAAGTTCGTTTAACAAAGAAGGCAAAACGACACAAGTCAGTTTCGAACAAGATTTAAAACAACCATTACCAATTGAAGTGACTGAATTTGGTATTAGAATGGACTTTAATGATTTACATTCACAAAATGTGTTGTTCCCAATGATTTGAAGTGAATTTGTCAACTCGATTGAACTAAGAGCTGAACATTTATTAAACGAACTATCATGCAGCATTATCATATTTTCATTAAGTTGCATATTTGTTATATTGGAACAATTTTGAAATGAAGAGAACCCAATAGATGTCATTAAAACTGGAACTTCAAAGCTTTTAAGTGACAAACAATTTCGAAAAGCATTTCCACCAATTTCACATTTTGTAATCTCGTTTGAAACATGTAAAGTCTTTGAAATGAAATCGTTCACTTTAACACTTTGAAGTGATGTACAATTTTCAAAACAATCATATCCAATTTTATATGTTTTGTATGATAGTGTTATTTGTGTAAGATTGATACAACTCCTAAAACATGAGTCGCCATACGATTCTATATTGCAAATCATCTCAACATAACAAAGTGAACTGCAATTCATAAAACACATTTCTGGTAATGTTGTTAATTTATTGGATAATTTTACTTTTTGAAGTAAAAAACATTCTTCAAAACATTTTATACCAATTTTTTCAACACTATTTGGAATGTCCATTTTTGTGAGAGATCGACAACAATAAAAACTCTTTATGCCAAGTGACGTGACATTTTCTGGAATTTCCAATTTACTTAATGAACTACATTTTTGGAAAAAGTTCATCATTCACTTGTTTGATATCATCTGGTAAAGTCACAGAACACAGAGAAGTGCATTTTTTAAACGCCTTTTTACCAATAAAAGTTGTATCTTTTAAATTAAGACTTGTGAGTGAATAACATTTTTCAAAACATGCTTCTTCTATTCGGCATATTCCACTATGAATATTAACATCTGAAAGTTTGCCACAACACTTAAAGCATCTTTCTGGGAGAACTTTTACAAATTCTGGAATGTGGATTCTTTGCAAAGAAGTACAACACCAAAATGACATTTTTCCAATACTTGTCAGTGTATATGGAAGTACAATATTAGTAAGAGCCTCACAACACGAAAAACAACCTTCACCAAGTGAAAATAATTTACTTTTGAATACATAAGAACTCATTTTAGAGTTTGAATAATATTTATCTTTCATTGTGTTTATATCTTCTCGATGCAATAAATTTAATGAAGTTGTAATTTTAGAGCAAAATACCTTTTTAAAAATATAAATAGAATTTTTAAAAAGATTCACAGTTTCCAATTCGACACCAAACATTACAACTATTTTATAAAAGTGTATACACAAACATTTTATTATTTCTAAACTTATTTTATAATTTATCCAATGTTCTATAATTTCACTGCGTTGTAATTTAAAAATAGCACATTTGAACGTTTCTTTTTCATTTGCATTATTTGATAATTTGTCAATTGCTAAATATCCAAAACGTTCATCTTCTTTATTCCAAAGATAAAAAGTCTCAATTTTTGGAAAAAATTTAATAGTTTTTCGAGTGAGTGGGAATTGGGGATGTAATGAATTTTGTCATATTACCTTGGAACTTGGTACACACAAACTCCAAGTTGATAAAATCTTTGATTGTCAAAAAATATTGTGACACAATCATAATGTGATACTTATCAATCATTTTTATTTAAATTGTTGAAAATGAGTTGAAATAACAATCGAAATAGTTTTTTATCAAATCTTTCAACACAAAATCATTCAAAATAATTATTAGGTGCATTTTTTTAAAAATTATTATATTATAATAATTATATAATTTCATTATTATTAAAATAAAAAAAAATTTTTTGATGAAAAATGTAATTGATTTTAATAAATAAAATTATAATAAATATTTTTACAAATCAAATTACTTTTTTGTTTATAAAAATATAGTTGAAACACATATAAATAACTAGAGTGAAAAATTGATTAAGGGAATGAGACGGCATCAAAACCACACGCCTCTTCACATGCATGGCATTCAATGCAGTCGTCTGGTCTTGCTACAAATGACTTGTCGTTTCTGAGCTCAAGTACGTTCTGTGGGCACGCTGAGACACAAGCTCCACATCCAGTGCAGTTGTCTATGTTGATAATTGGTGGCATTTGGTATCATAGTGCTCACACTTCCCTTTTATACCTCCTCGTTTCTCAAAATAGTTCTGTCACATAACAATTTTGATGTGATTTTGGAATGAAATTTGTGATTATTATGTTTTCTGTTATTTCATATTCTATTTCTATTAATTATAACTTATTAAACCATTGATTTACTATACAAAGACCAATTAAAAATTTCAAAAAAATCTCGCAATAAAAGACATCTCCCTTTAATTTAGATAAACTAATAAATAACCATACAAATTTACATATTTATACAATAAGATCTATTCATTACAATTTTTATGTTTAAATAAATTTGATTGAATTGAAGTGTTATAAATCTCAGAAATCACGTCATATTAGTGTTTCCAAAATTTCCTTTTTTGTAATTAAAATATAACAAAAACACAATTCAAATTTTGTAATTATTCATATTATTTATTCTTTATAATGAAAAGGATAAAAAATCACACATAAAAATAATTAAATATTTTCAATCAACAATAAAATGGAATCGAAAAAATGTATTATTGAGTTGTTGATAATTTATATTATTTAAAAAACATTGTTTTTATCTTTAAAAATTGTTTTTGTTTTCAATTATTTTTTAATTAACGTTATCAAATAATGTTACACTTATTAAAAAGAATAAACATGTTTATTGTTATACACACTAAAAAACCGATAAGCAAACAAATATTTAAATAATGAATAATAAAGGTAATTTATCAGTATTGTAAATGAATAAATTAAGTTGGTTAGTTGATAAAAATGTTTTTTGAAATATTGTATGAGTATTTACACGAAATACAATTTCAGCTAAAATATCGTTAAATTAAAATTTTATATAATAGCAAATTACAAACAAATATTTTTGTTGTGTGATGATTATTGTAAACATGAAATAATTCTTCTACAAATCAATTTAAAATATATTTATTGGTATTAGAATTATAATATTTATTAATAATATAACAATTAAAAAGAAACAGAAAGATATTTTTTTTCAACAAACACACAAAAAATAACGATAAATTAAACATATCATAATGTAAAATTCATTATGAAACTAAAACAAAAGATCTTATTAATATATTCATTCGTTAAAATGCAAAGAATAAAAACATTTCACACCATTGTTATGGGATACGTATCTTCTGGGCGTTCAGCGATGATATACCAGTTTTGTTTAAATAAATTTTATGATAAAATTGACACGTTGACAGAAAAAGAATTTTTTAAAAAAGTATTACTCGATCGAAAATTTATACCCGTCTCATTATTTGATCATATGACACCACAAGATCCATATGATTTTGTTTTCGAAAAAATTAAAAATATTGATGGATTTATTATAGTTTATTCAATAACTTCAAAGCCTTCTTTTATTTACGCGTGTGTTATTTATGAAGCTATTCTACGAAATTATTTGGTCGAGAGTTTCCCATGCGTTTTATGTGGAACCAAAAGCGATTTAGAGACACAGAGAAGCGTTTCAAAAGAAGAAGGAGAGAATATTGCAAAAGAATGGGGTGTTCCATTTTTCGAAATATCAACAAAAAATAATGTAAATATTACTGAGTGCTTTTTAGCAATAATAAATGAAATTTTGGAATCCAAAACAAACGAAGAACTTTATGAAGAGATACCATTGTCTGAAACGACAAAGAAAAAACGCTGTGAAATTGTATAACATTTAAAATAATGCAAATGTTTTGTTTTTTTATATTGATATGTATAACTTTTCATTATATATCATTATTTATTACTAAAACATTATTTATTGATTAAATATTTAATTTAATTGAATCAATGATACTCAAAAATAGCAGTCGTTTCCAAATTAATAATTACCAAAAATGTGGAATTATAATATACGATTATTTACAGTAAAAAGCATTATTTTAAATATAAAATATAAAATATATAATATAATTGTAACAATGATACACAAAAATTAAATATTTAAAATAAAATATAATCTTTAAAAATGAATTATAGAAATTTTTAAAAATGTTAGTTTGAACTAAAAACCATTAAAAATACTGTAATCAATTTACTTCAAAACAGTGTGATAAACGCATTTGTTCCTTTTAAAGTAGACTTTGGTAATATAAGAGAGGAAGAACAACACAATGAAATCAGTGAACTGCAGTC